GTTAGAGAAAATAGTGCAACAATGAATGAATGAAAACCCAAAATCTCTGTAAATGTTCATTAAAAATAATAAAATTTAATAATAATTAAAAAAAAATCTGGGAAGGATGTACACCAGGGATGTGTCCTATCTCCATACCTTTTCAGTCTCTATGCCGAACATATAATTCCGGAGGCTGGTCTCTATAAGGATAAATATGGGTTCAGGATTGGAGGAAGACTCATCAAACACCTTGCTTGCTGAAACTGAGGAGGACCCAAAGCACTTGCTTCAATATGGATTGAAGCTCAACATAAAAATCCAAAGATTCTCTAGGGAGCTCTTGTGGCCTAGTGGCAAGAAGCTGCACTGCAACCCCAGAGGAACACGGTTCAAATCCAACAGATGCTCTGCTGCAGAAGGAGGGACAATCTCCTCCTGTACCAGTGAGATCCAATTTGACGGTACACTCACAAAATAATAATAATTATTATTAATATTGTTATTATGATTTAAAAAACCCCCAAAAATTCTCACCACTGGCCCAATTAGCAGCATCATTATAGATATTAAAGAAATTGAGATTGTTAACAGTTTAGTTTGCTTGACTCCACAATTAACACTCTTGGTACCAGTAGCCAAAAAATCAACAATGAATTGCATTGGGAAAGTCTGCTATCAGGGACCTCTCCAGAGTACTGAAGAGCAACGATGTCAGTCTAGCCTGATCCAAGCCATTGTCTTTGAAATTACTTGCTATGTGTCAGAAAGCTGGACAATGACTAGGGATGATAAAAGGAGAATTGATGCCTTTGAGCTGTGGTGCTGGAGAATAGCATTGACTATACCGTGGACTGTTAGAACAAACAGGTTCGTCCTGTCCTGGAGTGGGTTAAACCAGGCTGATCCTTGGAGGCAAGGATTCTGAAGCTCTGTCTGACATACTTTGGGCATGTTGCAAGGAGGGACCAGTCCTTGTAGAGAGACATCATGCTTGAGAGGGTGGAGGAACTGCGCAGGAGGGGATGACCCTTAATGAGATGGATTAACTCAATGATTGTATTAATGGGGGTATTAGTGACTGTATTAATTCGAGATGGTGAGGTTAGAACAGGGTTTAGTAGTGTACATAGGGTCGCTATGAGTAGTAGGCAACTTGACGGCACATAGCAACAACAAACCAAATATAATAACTGCTATTGAAAACTAAATGAAATCAGAAACTCAAACATACCAATACATCTACACACCAATGTTTATAGCAATATTATTTACAATAGTGGAAACAATGCAAATGTCTGTCAACAGATGAATGGATAAATAAAATACAAGATGGGAATTTAGCAGTGGTAAGGACTGAAGAAATAAAGAATGATGCAATTCTTCAGATCAGTATGCTGAATGAAATAAGCTAGACATGGAAAGACAAATATTCCTTCCCCAGGTGTTAGCCCCACGGCAGCAGGCATACTTCTAGTGGTTTGGATTCACAACTGACATTGGGGAAAAGGCGTGATTTCCTATGGACTTTATAACCTTAGAGACCCACAACTATGAGTCGGTTCTGACTTGAAGGTAAAGAGGACAGGAATGAAGGCGTGTGTCTGAATTATTCACCATTAGTGTGCAGTATTAGCAGACACCCTCTCTTAAGAGATGAGGAAGGCCTTGTCCAGGACAGGACAGCTTCTCTACTCTCCTGTTGCATCCCACAAGCACCAAGGGGAGGAGAAGTAGGGTTGAGCAAACCACTCTGCCTCTTCCCCTCTGTATCTACTGAGAGGGCAGGGCAGGCCTAACAGGTCAAAATCGCCTCTCCTCAACAGGTATTATGGTGGAACGGAGTTCATAGATGAACTGGAGCTTCTGTGCCAGAAAAGGGCGCTGCAGGTCTATAACCTGGACCCCCAGTGCTGGGGCGTCAATGTCCAGCCCTACTCGGGTAAGTGCTTATTCTGATCTACCTCCAGGGCTGACAGCCACCAGGGATCTGGGCATAAGCAAAGGTGATACCACACTAGACTCTCTGCTGGTGGGCTCAGCCCTCCATCCATGTGCTTCCAGCTGCACTATCCCCTCTGCAGCAGTCTTTCTCCATGTCCTACCCCCAGACTCCCTCCATCACCATCCCCCACACACTCATGGACTTAGGGCAGGGGACTCTCCAAGGACTCAGAGAACACTTCCTCAGGAGTCCATATGAGAAACTGGGCCTGTCCTTGGCTGTCCCCAGGCCTGGGCAGGACTTCAGGAGGGGAAGGACTGCCCAGCTCACTTCTTCCAGGTTCTCCTGCCAACTTTGCTGTGTATACGGCCCTAGTGGAGCCCCATGGACGCATCATGGGCCTGGACCTGCCTGATGGGGGTCACCTGACCCATGGCTTCATGACTGAAAAGAAGAAGGTCTCAGCCACATCCATCTTTTTTGAGTCCATGCCCTATAAGGTCAGTGTGCATGTTGCTCTCAGACACAAGTGGTTGCTCTCAGGCACAAGTGTTTCCTCGGAACACACCCTCATCTGTGTGGTGTCGCTCCTGGTGTTTTCTCAGGTCACACCTGCATCTGTGGCATCATCTGGGCACCGTATTTCCTCTGTGAGGCAGTGTAGGAAGGCCCCAAGGCTGCTGTTTCTCTTTGCCTTGCTCTGAATAAGAAGATCTTCTGGGACTCTATGAGTAGCAGCTGACATGCAGAGGGAAGAGGGCTCCTTGAAGTAACCATAGGGTTTAGCTAAAGTGGGAATGGCAGCTATCTCAGAACAAGTGTGGCCACAGCCAAGATCATAGCCCCAGCCACCACATCAGCCAGAGCTGGAGGCCTGCTGCTGCCCTCCTCAGGATCCTAGTAGGCCAGCAGCTACAAGAGCAGCAGGATCTCTGGCTCCAATGCCAATACAAGCACCCTGGGCATCCACCACAACCTCCATCGCCCCAGGAGGGAAGAGTGGAGCAACATGACTCCTCTTCACCACCTCTGCCTGCCTTCCTGCCATGGTCATAGCCTGCAGTGGTCACTGTCTGCAGTGGCCAGTACCGAGAGTGATCAGCACTTATTGTGGTCACGGCCTGCAGTGGTTAGCACCTATTGTGGTCACTGCTGCAGTGGTCAGTGCCTATAGTAGTCACTGTAGTGGCCAGTGCATATAGTGGTCACTGCCTGCAATGGTCACTACCTATAGTGGTCACTGCCTGCAGTGCTCAGTGTCTATAACCGTCACAGCCCAGGCCCCTCCTCTCTTGCTGTTCGTACTGCCCAAGCCTACCCCCCGCACCCCGCTCCCATACCATATCATTAGTGTGATGAGTATGTGAGCAGTTCCCAAGTGGTACAGATGGTTGAGCAGCCAGCTGGCAGTTTGAACCTGCCCAGAGGCATCTGGGGGACAGGCTTTTTTTGCTTTCAGAAGACCACAGCCTAGATCCCTCCAGAGTGCAGTTGCTCTGCACACAAGTCACCATGAGTCAGAAATGACTGCCATAAACAACAGCTGTGCACACCAGTGTTCAAGGCTGCCCAGGGCCCTGCCTGGAGAAACCATGCCGTTTTACAGTGTGTGATAGATGATGAGGACTGTTGGAGCATGGTCATTACCTGAACAGTTCGCATGACAGGCAGAAAGGAGACTTTTGCCTATCTCGTTGTCTAGTCAGTGATTCTGCACCAAATCCTTGGCAGTCATTATTGTCCAATGTATGTGGCTCACACTTTTCAGTGAATAGTGACAGTATGTTTAACTGTCGTGTTCTGGTGTTGGCTTTGCTGCGTTCTGCTGATCATCTGAGTTTTGCTTAGCCACTATCTTGATTCTTTTTTTTTAAAATATTTATTTTATTTTATTATTTTTGTGTGAGTGTACCGTCAAATCAGATCTGACTGGTACAGGAGGAGATTGTCCCTCCTTCCCCGGCAGAGCATCTGGCGGATTCGA